ACCGTCGCTGTTTCCCTGAAGTTGAATTTTTAATGATAAGATATTGACCGGAGAATTGTTTTTTTATCACCGATCCTCCAAATCCCGCTGTTAAAAAAACAATACCAGATGTTGTGAATACATTTATGTCTGACTGTAACACACCGACCTTCTCTTCTGAAGGCCATTCCCAGAGCAATACAATATGTTTTTGTATTTATCTATTCAAGAAGATAAACCCAACCCTCTGGTTTCTTCCTCAGTCAGACATCGACTAGTCAATCAAGGCCAAATAAAGATCCTGCAAGCAAATTTTTTTTCTTCTTTTTTTTTTGCACTGCAGCTCAATATCAAATCCATCTCCGCGCCCAAAAACTCTCTCCACTCTCTAGTTTTTTGACTCCTCGCGGAGAAGAAAGTGGACGGTCAGCGATCGTCGACGGGCCTCGGTTCCCGAGCGCGGGGATGCGGCATCCTCCTGCCCTGCGTGGCGTTCCCCCTCACGTCGCCCCAGCTCGCACGCGCCGCCGCCGCCGCGCTAATTGGTCTTGTGTGGTGTACGACGACGAATCGCTCGACACAGCGGCGAGGAACTTGCCAGACAACCTTTTTTCTTTCTCCTGAAACCCCCCCAAAAAAGCGACAACAGAAAGACGCGGTGGGCGAGGAAGTGGGACGTAAACGAGCAGAAAAAGAGGGGAACTTTTTTCAGCTCCTCAGCACTAAAACACCCGGCAGCTTTGAAATGGTGTTGACGGCGTGGCGGGAAAAAAGGCCCATCAGAGATCCCACCGACGCAGACGACTCCAACGTGCCTCTGATGCTCCTCTGGCAGCCGTGACCCATTTCTGCACGGCAGCAGGGCCGATCAAAAAGGTTGGAAAGAACGTCATTGCTTCTCCGCCGCTCCCCCCCGCGGTCAACGGGGGAGCTTTCGGTTTTGACTTCCTGCGAGAGGAAATGTAACCAGGGTGCTTCGGTGCACCGCAGCCCGGGTAATAATCCACCAACCCCCCCCCCCGGAGTTAATGCCACAACGGGACGATACCACAAGTAGAAGTCATGCGAGAGCTGTTTCGTACTCAGGTGGAACTTTGTTTGCAGTGAAAAGCACTTCAGTCTCCTAAAGTCTGTCACAGATTGACGAGCAACTCCATGATGAAGCGTGAACATCTCCAAGGCTGGAGGTGAAACGTTTAAGAGGAGACAAAAGAGGGATTACATGTTCCTTATCAGGCTGAGGAAAGAAATCTGTCAAGCTCTTTAGTCCAAAGTCAACCATCCGAAAAGAGGCCTTTTGTTCTCATTGGATTTCTTTTTGCTGACAAGAGCTGTGTTTTGTGATTTAAATCTAAAATCTGAATCCACACGTTTGGACCACATTTAGAAATGCTTCTATATTAAGTGGAAGCCTGAAAGTGATCAACAGCTCATGTGGACCAAACGGCTCGAGATGGAATGTTTGTAAGTGTTCTGCTTATTGTTACATTTATTTCATTTTTTCTCGGCAGCTTTTCTTTTTTCTCATCCACAATCTGGCTGCAGCTCGTCTTTCGTGCACATCGACACCATCGACGGCAAAAAAGAAGAGTCCTGTTTTTTCTCGCAGTGAAAAGCCGAATGAGCAGGAGGAAAAAGCCCCTGTGGTCCTGAAGCAGCACCTCGTCAGGTGGATCCATGACGTCTGGTCACCCGATGCCCCCAACAGGGAAACCAGGCCGGCCGACGTCTCAGAGATGAACCAACGCTAAACAGGAAGTAGTCTGCATGAGACTAAAGCTGAAGTTGTTAGAACCATTAAACGGCTTTCGTCGATCAGAGATTACTAAAGGACATTTCTTTTTCCGCCAGAAAGTGTTTCTATGACAACAATGCTCTCCCATCAAATCTCCAGTCTAAGTGTCGCCGCATGACCCGTTTGCTTTTAACCGTCCATCCGGGCTTCTGTCTTTTTTATTCCCTCAAAGCAGCAAAACGGAACATTCTGTGAAATACTCCCCAGAAACCACTGTAGTAATTGAGTAAATGCATTAGCATCCCTTTGTGATTTATTTTAAGCTTTCACACACATATTCACGCCTGGAAGACAGGCACAATTACTCAACATTTCATTGAAATCCTATTAAAGCCTCTCGCGACATTAGCAAAACGGCGAAATGTGTTTCATAATGTCATTATGAATTCAATATTGTGGTATTTTAATATGTTTTTCAATGAAAATGGGAGTAACGCGCTGTCATTCCCTCCATCGTCACACACTTCTCAGCTGTTGTGTCTGGTTACACGACGCAGACTGAGAGCAGCAGGAGAAGCTCCCGTCGATTCAACGATGAAATAGAGCTCACAGGGTTCAAAAAGAAGGAGATTGATGCCCTGCAAGCCGTAAAATGTGTGGTAGTCTGTTAAAAGTCGGCACGGTCAGAGGCAGACCTGGTGCTGATAGATCAGCCGACTGGATGCCGTTGTTTAAAAGATTCAATTTTGTGACTTAAACCCAATAAGAGAATAAAAAAACTAGTTTATATAATTGTATATTTCGTTTTAAGGCGATTGTCTCGTTTGTCAGGCTGGTCTCATCAAGCATCCGTAGCCTACGGGAAAAAAGGTCGGACTACATTCTGTATAAATCCCTCCAAAAAATGTGTATAAAGACGGGATCTTTTTATAAACCTAATCACGTATCTTTGTGGCCTAAACCTCAGTTAGAGGTTTCCTTTAAGGGTGTAAGTTCATTTTAAAAAGACCTTCTTCAAGCAACGACCCGAAAGTGACACGCGATGCTGGACTTTTGCAGAAAAATACACAAAAAAAGTGTAACTACAACTAATAAATATCATACAGTTAGGATACTTTGCATTTGTTGGAAACATTGAAACAGAAACTTCTAGAAGTCATTTAATTGTGACGGACGAATCTGCACGTTTGTTTTATGAAAACTCGGAACCGTCGTGACTCTTGAATCAGTGTGGAGATTGAAGTTGGAAGAATGTTGGAAGAATATTCAGACAACAAAACACTGGAATCGTTTTGCCTATAATAAAATCACGTTTTTTTTCTTCCACTTTTTTTCCGCTGCAACGGTTCAACGCGGTTAAACTGCGGTTGGACCTTTTCGGGTGGAGGCCTCGGTGCAGCAGGCGCATGCAGACGAGTGAGGGGGCCGTCTGAATGCAGCCCGAAGTCACAAAGAAACAGCTTGACTCATAAAATCTAAATGAGCTGTTGTTGGCTTTACACACACACACACACACACACACACACAGAGGGAGAAGCAGCTTTTCAGAGTAAAACAAATGAAGACGCAAGATAAATAATGGTTTAAGTTTTATGCAGATTTGAAGACTTGTAAAACAGAAGGGCTTTGTGCAGAATCCATTTGGTTTCCACATAAATCTGGTTTAATCTCATCCGTTCTGTTCTATTTTGGAATAGAAACATAATATTCTGTCCATAATGACATTTTTATGTTAGTTAAAATCTTCTGCATTTAACTCGTGACATCTCCTAATGAAGTATTTATACAGGCCACCAGCCACCCGTCTGTCTACGTCGCCCTCTGATACATAAATCATCTCCAAGTTATTTTTGCAGGAAAATCTTATAAATCTTTCAACACATTTGGGTTTTTCTCATCAAGCCCGGAGAGACTGACAAGCAGCCAGAATGGCTCATTAATGGAAGTGTTTCTGGAGAGCTTTGTGTCTCCTGTGGGTTTTAACTCGCCCGCTGAGTAGTTTACGTGGTCCGAGGGAAAAGGAAGCAGAGCGTAATGTGCCGAGGAATCTATCTCAACCCCGGCAACCTTTCTGCAAAGCCTGCGGAGAAAAAAGAAATAAGAAAGGCCGCAAAAGAGGCTGAGTTCAGGACACACACACACACACACACACACACACACACACACACAAACACAAACACACACACACTCGCTTTGAAACTAATTCCATGAAGTCAAGTTTTAATGTTGCTCTGTTGGTTTTTAAAGGTCACCAAAGCAAATTACTAAGAACCGCTGAACTCGGCTTGTCACACTCACTGCGTTTGTTGCTTTTGTACTCGCGCACACACACACACACGCACGCACACACGCACGTCTCTTCATACACAGACACATGGAAATATTGTACATATGTAACACACACACACACACACACTGAAACGGCCCCAGGTGTTGAACATGTTGAGTTTTGACGCTACTTTGGACATGATGGTCGCAGCTGTCAGAAAGCCTTCTAGAGGCACACACACACGCACACACACACACACACGCACACACACACACACACACACACACACAGGTCTCAGTCCCAAGCATTTGATCAGCTGAGGGAGTGTGTGACCCCTGAGGTTAATGCTGTGTTCGTGACACTTTAAGGTCACTGTGACTTTACGAAGTGTGATTTTGTTCACTTCTTTTGTAATATTATTGGAATTCATATGATTATTGATGTTTACAATGATGCACAATGACTTGTTTGTACAGGAAGTGAACAGAGAATCCTTGCCGGAGTCGGCAGTAGAGCGAGTTAGCGTTAGCATCCGATAGCCGCGACAACAATGCGGCTAACGTGAGCAGGATGAGTGTGACGCGTTCAGGCTCTGTTCAGTAAAAGAATGTGTGTGAATCATAACGTCTCTGTGAAATGTTCAACTGCGGTCTTGTAAAATGCTGTTTTGGTGGTAAACTCTCCTACAAAAAAAAACTGTAGAATTAAAGATAAACTCTGAAAACACGTCAGACAAAGAAATCTACGCTGAATTGCTCAGTTTTTAACCGTGGATTCAAGAATGGTGGCACGTCCCTTTAAGTGTTAATTTCTGTGACATCTTTAATAGGATAAATTGATGAATTGATGACATTTTGAAAGGACATGGCTGCCAAATATATTCTCTGAATGAGCTTAAAAACCCCTTTATCATTTCACACAGTGGCAATAAAAGGCCTTAATTCACACATTTGTCTGCCAATAATGGACTTTTTATGAAAGTAGTTTTCAGGGATAAAGAATGAAAAACAGAGACAGTTTGATATCAAGTCTACTGATTTATTTCCATTTTCAGAGTAATTTGTTTTAATGGATTCACCAGATCTGTTGGTGTATTCGCAGGGATGACATCGGTCTGCTGATAATAGATGACACCAAAAAATGTTGCCAGTATACTTTCATCAGGTTCTCAAGACATCTCTAAGACAAAATTGTAAACTCCATCAATTGATTACCGGGACTGTGAAAGGTTTAAATACAGACCAGCTGGACAATTGATTTGAGTTCATTTTACTCACTAAAATAGCATCAGAGCACATGATACAAAAGAAAAAACTGTGCCTCATTCAACTGAGGTTTCTCTACAAAAATACGTCCAATAACATGTTTTTATTCTTCTAATTTACACAGTTATATCACAATAATAAACAAAAACCTACGTTTGTAGACAGGGTGTCAAACCGCTTCGTGGTACGCAACAACGGGGAGAGAGCGCCGCCGCGCCGGCTAAGTGCCGTCTAGCTTTTTCACATTTTCAGGTTTTCCTCTGACTCTGTAAAACCCGCCGTGGTTTTTTCCTCGTGCATTCCAGGCAGGACGGCGATCCGCCCACAGACGTCGGTTTGTTTGTTTGTTTGTTTGTATTTCATCTGCTGCCTGCGCAGCAATAATCTGTAGTCGGCGAGACGGGGGCAGGCGCCGCCGGTTGCGTCCCCCCCCCCCCCGAAGCCTTCGCAGCCAGATGTTCATCTTCAGAGGAGCCAGAGAGGGGGAAACAGCGTGTTATGCGTGTGGGAGTCACTCTGCACTTCCCCGTGGCGCTTCTAAACACATTTACATCTCCTGAAAGTCCCCGGCGGCTCGCTGGACGCTTTTTTTTTTTAGTTAATTGCCAAAAGTACTTTCTGCCGCACTTAATGACGCAGCGGAGCGCGACTCGGAAGAGGGGAGCCTGGAGAAGGAAGCGCGGCGCAGCCACGGATGCTCGCACGTGGCTTTTGTTCCGAGTCCTCAGCTTTTAGGGGAAACGCTTTGAACTCCCTGCACAGGAACCAAAGAACCGAGACTGAATTCGTGAAAGCGACGACGACGAAAAGAAAACCTGTCAACCGGCGACAAAAGCAAGCGACGAATGGCGTGTCTTCCGTGTGATTACCTGACACTCAAATCGAACCGTCCCCGCCTCTGAGTGTCCCGAGGACGCCACGCTGTGTGTGTTTGTGGTGGCGTTTTTTTTTGGGGCCTTTAGCATGAGGCCCCTGGACGTAAGGTTATCCGTCCGTTTTCAGTGCAGGCGGCACGCGATGGCAGAAAACCAGCGTAACAGCGTAAGACGTTCGGGGGGTGAAGGTCAGACGCTGGAGTCGGTCCCTCCGAAGTCAAGGAGCAAAGGCTTTATTTCAAACGCAAAAGTCCAACTCTCACACGTGGGAGAAAATACAGCTCAGAAGATCCGATTTATGCACACGTGACGGCAGCAGTGGGTCTCTGTGCGGCGACAACACGCAGGCCGTGGCCCATTTATGCCCCGAACGAATACAGCATGTTCTACTTTGTGCGTGTAACACCAGAGAACGACGGAACACGGAGCACGGGCCCCATCGGACGCCGATCAAAACCGCCTCTTTTAAAAAGCCAACGACGACGTGTTTGTTCCTGAAGCATTTCATTTCTCCATGAGGAGCACCAAAAACCAACTCCAGCTTTAAAATGCAGCCCGACAGTCTGAGAGTATTGTTCATTTAACCAGTTTTAATAGTGTGACGAATGACTCTTCTGGAGTTTGTGCGCTCGTACGCCAGCAGGTTGAATGTGCGCGAGTTCAGACACAATGATTGTTTCATCTTTGTTAAAATGATGAGGCCTTATGAGGAGATATATTCATCTTTAATGTTCATTCTGGACATGATACCACAGGGTTTTGTTGTAACTGTTTATAATCACCCTCTAATATAAACGCTCTAAATAGACTTCTCGATGAACACAGAGGCTATAGCTTAAAATGTCATGCAGGACATGAGCTCTTGAAAACCTCAAGTTGAGAGCGTGCAGCTCACATCTGTCTTCAAAGTCATTCAGGGTAAAAGTAGGAAAATCACCAACTGAAGTGGAAACTCTCAGGGGAGAGAAATGTAAATCTCAACAAGAAAAGAAGAAGAAAATCCTGCATTTATTATCACAGATTGACGATATATCTGAGTATGGAATTTGTCCTTAAAAGTCTCCCGACGTGCGTCGGAAGCCGAGCAAATCATCGGGTTAAAAAATGCAAAACAGGAGCGTCGACTGATTTTCCGCCAAGGGAAAGCGAGCCCAGCTGTGCACCCCCACCACGACTCCACCGGCTGCACACCTGAGGCTCATTTCCAGCAGGATTGCAACTGATGAAGATAATTAGCCATCATTTTTTTTTTTTCTTTTTTTGTTTCCACACGTGTGAATCAGCGCTTTGAGTGTTTTGGACGGGGTGATGAGGTTGCCGGGGTTTGGCTTTAAGAAATATCACATTTTTGTTTTCCCCGCTTATTTCTCATGACATTTTTGTCCCGGGCCTTTTTTACTTTTCTTTCTTCGCTTTCCCGATTTTCAGAACAACACCTGCAAGGGCAGGACCGCGGGATGGGGCGGGGCATACAGAGGCGGGTGGTGACTCTGCATGGGGTGGAACGCCGTCGCCAAGGGATACGGGCCGGGGGCATCCAGGAAAGGAATAGGGGATGAGGAGTAAAACGAGGGATGGAGAGGGGCAGGTGGAGGCGGTGGCGGAGGAGTGAGCGGGGAGAAAGATGGGAGGAGGTGCGGGTATGAGTGCAGGGGGAGGTGCGACGGTGGCGGGAGGAGGGAGAGGTGCTGGATGATGGTGTGACGGAAGGAGAATGAGGAGGAGGAGGAGGAAGGCGGGAGCAGGAGGGGGGCGTGGAGGGGGAGGCACTGCGCGGGGATCCCGCGAGGGAAGCGAGGCCTCTTCTCCGCGTAGAGCTGTTCGAAATCCACCTCCTTCCTCCTCTCCCTGTCCTCCCTTTCCTTTCTCCTCACCCACTCCATCTCCCACTCCGCCCGCTTCTCCTTCAGCTTCTTCCCCTCCACCTGCCTCTCCTCCGCCTCCCTCCTCTCCCTCTCAGCATCCCCCTGCACCGCGAGGACGTTGGCGGGGTCGATGCCGCCGGAGGTTCTGCGATCGATTGAATCAGACGGCTTGGTTTGGTGCGGAACGCGACCCTCCGCTTTGGTTCCCGCCTCCTCGCTGAGCGCGCTTCTGTTGGCGGCGGGGCGACGACCCGCCGCTTCGCGCTCGCTGCATCGACCGCCTCTTTCGTCGGCCTCTTCGCGAGCGGGAGCGTCCGGTTCGTCCGGGCGATCGTCGGGCCTCAGTTTGAGATCCTCGGCGTGTTCTACGTCCACGTGGCGCCGGTCGTCCTCACCTGGCGTGCTGCTGGTGTGCAGGTCGCTGAAAGGTCCCTCGCCGTCGCCGCCTTTGCTGTCGTGACAGCCGCAGTGGTCGTTGACTTTGACCAACGGCCCCTCGCTGTCATTTGTCTCGTGACTCGGGCCGCCGTTTACCTCCGCACCGCACATGCAGCTGTCCAGATGTGTCCCGGCCTCGGTGCCGTTGGGCTTTGCGAGGTCCCCGTCTTCGCCGAGGTCGGCGGTCGGATCCCGGGCGCACCCTACTTCCCGCCCCAAAGCGCACGCCGGTCTCCTCGTTTGCCTCCTTCCCCTCTTCCTCTTCTTCCTCGGGGCTTCCTCGGGCGAGTCCGCCTTCCTCTTGCCGCCGGCCGTTTGCCTTTGACCGCACGCCGTTTCTCCTAAAGGACCCGGGACGAGGCTAATCGCTGGGCTGCACGCTGCGGGAACCGGACAAATGTCCGCCTGGCGCGCTGCCTCTCGGCGGGGGGGAGGAGCGCCGCTAGTCGCCGGGTCGCGGGCGTTTCCCTGAGCCGCTCTCGTCTGCGCCTCGCTCGGCTTCCCCCGGCCCTCGTCCCCCCGCCCGTCCTGCCCGCCTGCTCTCGCATTCGGGAGCGTCTCCCCCGTCCCTCCGTCGCTCCGAGCGGGGTCGGGCGTAATTGCGGGACAGCTTGGGGTCTCCATAACGGGCCCGGGGACGGGGCTAATCACCGCGTTGCATGCCGCACCCCTACGGAGGAGCTTTCTGAGCCCCGGGCCCCACCCGGAGGCTGATTGCTGGGATTGATGCTGTCTGGCCTCCCTTTTCACCTGCAGACACAGCTGGTTACACCGATTACACCGATTCACGGGAAGATTACTTAATAGCTCTGCTCGCTTCTCGTTTCTACCTGCCCCCTCTCGCTCCGCCTGATCTCCTCTCATCCCTCTCTCCTCTCCCCTCGTCCTCTTTTCCCTCCCCCCCGCCGGCCGCTGCGCCGCGAGATTACTTGATGGCGCCTTTTCCCTCCGCTCCTCTTTTTCGGCGGCCTCTCTGCTCGACCTCTCGTCTCTCGCTTCAAACGTCTGATTCTCAGAGACGCTGCTTGTTGCCCTCCTCCCACACTCTTTTCGGTCGGCCTCCTCTCCCTTTTTCCTCCTACCCCTCTTCCTCATGCCTCTCCTCACCCCTCCCCTCCTCCTCTTCCTCCTCCTCCTCCTCCTCCCGCCGCCTGCTTTTTGAAGGCCGTCTCTCGGTGCGCATTCTGCCGAGACTGGAACAAATTTTAAAGCGCTTTCATCACGGCAACCACAGCGGTCCGGAGCTGCGTCCCCGCTGCTACAATGGGCTACAAGTTCCATAGGATTTCCTGCCTGTCCTCCTTCATCCTCTTCTTCCCTTTCATCTGTCTTCACCTCCCTTCCTCTCTCCATAACTTCCTGCCTCTGTTGGCATTCGGGTCGTTTGATCACAGGCGGCTTTATTCTCTCCCTCCCTTCCTCCGGTGCCCCTTTCTTTTCCTCGCCCCCTGCCTTGGCCCTGTTATGATGTGCTCTGAAGTCGTACAGTAGAGGGTTGACGCTGAAGGAGATGGAGGGCGACGTCCCGGTGTAGCTGACCATCTCCGAGGGCCAGAGAAGAACCCGAGTGCCGTCCCGGCACAGGACGCGGCAAAACGGCTCCTTGGGGCGATTTGGGGGCAAAGAAGTTGGTTCTTGTGTTTGGATTGAAGATTCTTTGGGCTCGTTTAGAACAACGGAAGTTGTTTTTTCAGGCTGACTTGCGGCGGGACGAAGCGGGCCTTCGGGCTCTGGGGTAGGAGGGATCTCGTCGTCGTGGGCGTCAACCCCGCTGTCCCCGCCAGTCCCATTGCCGCTCCCGCTGACCACCGAGCCCCCAACTCTGATCACATCGCCATCACACAGAGGAACCCGGGCTCCAGCCTGAAAAACCCCCGTCCCCCCGTCGGCGGACATACTGGCCGCAGGCTCTGGGTGCCGTGTCGCGGCCTCGACGTCCACCCTGCACTGGTTTCCAGTGTCCGAGTGACCCGCGCCCGCAGGCACCGGCGACCCGAGCCGCCGAGCCGCGCCTTTCTCCGCCGGCTCCCCGACTCTTTCCTGCGCCGTTGCACCTTCCTGCCTCCCCGTCGAACCGGAGCCCCGGCCGGCCTGGACGAAGACGGCGGCCGACTGGTGGAGGAGGACGCAGCTCCTTTTGGCCAGCGAGAAGGACACGGGGCGGAGCCTGCTGCGCATGGACGCGGCGTCCGCGCTGATGCCGGCGGCCACTCTCCCGCCGAAGCCGGAGCCGTCGGCGGTGGCGGCGTTCTCGGCAGGCGTCGGGGCGTCCTCGGCAGCGGCGGGCCGGCTTGAGTAGTTACGAGCCCAAGGGATCTTGTTAAAGCGTCTGTTTTTCGCTGAAGTGGCGCCGCTGGCGGTCAGGCCGCTGTAGTCCACCCGGGTCTCGTTAAGGGCGCAGGGCTCGGCGGCGGCGGCCGGCGTGCTGCTGGCGTCCCTCGGGTCGAACGGCCACTGCGCGTCGCCCAGGAGTCTGCTCTCCAGCGCCGGGTCGAGGGGAAGGAAGGGCCGGGTCGCCTGGGTCTGAGGCTCTGCAGACGGAGGGGGGGAAAGTGGGAAGGATTAGAGCCGACGCTGACACAGATCACATTTACATGCAAAACGTAAGGGGATTATCTGCCTAACCTGACAGTAAGGATCCGAGTAGGAGCGGATACATGTGGAAGAAGAGCATTCATTATGATGCCTCCCCATACAGTAAGCCCCTCATGCATTTATTCAGCTCCCTGGCACCTCAGCGGGACTTCTTTTGTTGCTTCTACACATCGCAGTGTGATAAATGGGTGTAGGATGGACTCGGATAAAACATAAGCGCAGAGATGAATGTGTGGCTTACTGAGACATCGGGGGGGGGGGGGGGGGGTTAGAATAAGGGGTTTTTCCCACATGTAATTTCCATTTGTTCAAACCCACTTTGGACCATAACATGCTGCCAAACATTCATCTGTCCGCGCATCGGTGTGGCGGCGGATTCGGCCAAATGATTTCCTGAATGAAGGTTTTAAGATGACTCATAACTTTAAAAGTAATCCACAATGTGCCTTCCACTCACGCGAGATGCCTCTTTTGTTAAACATTTGAGACATTTCAGAAGGGAAGACGCGGAATGAATTATTACTCCTCCGATACTAAACGTATTTTCACATTCAGCACTCGGAGAGGGTCGACTTTAAATGCAGTTGTTGAACTTTTCAATCGGTTTTAACTTTGAAATGAGAAAAGAAAACTTTACCAAATATGCAACCGATGTGTTTTCTGAAAAGACAGGGGGACAATTGATTGTTTCTTCTAAGCCGCAGGACTGATGCTGCAAAATGTGATGTTCATCCTTTCTTTGTTACAAAAAAAAGAATTATCTTGCACTCTAAAATCCACTCGGATGGACTGCAGGGAGATACCACCTCCGGAATCAGAACAAACTCAGAATGAATGACACATTTAACTGGAAAATATTGCTCCAATCTCATTCTTAATGTTCAGCTTTTTTTTGGAAAAGCGTTAATTCAACTTCAGTTTTTTTTCGAAGGCTGCTCTTGTGGTGCTGCTAAATAGATTTATGCTACACTGAGATGTGTTTTCTAATAACTTCACCACCCATGATTAATGGGGAGCCGAAACACTGACTGCATTAGTTTGATATAGTGGTACTGGGTGCAGGTTTCTTTTGCATATAGTTCAATAAAATAAGTATAAATAAAAAAGGACGACTGGTTAAAGGAATGTACTTTTGGGCTCTGCAGCACCAAGTGTATTTTTTTTGAGATAGGTGACACAGACTATACGACGTGGATGAAGTCATCACGACTTAAAACTAGAGATAGAGACCAAAAACCCATGTTTACAATGTTTACTGAGGGAATTATTCCGGTAGACTTCTACGGGACCAGAGGAGTCGCCCCCTGGTGGCCTTTAGGCAAAAGTCCAAGACACATCTGCATTTGCTTCACTTTCATGCACACAGGTTGACCTTGAACCATTTGCACCTCTGTTCACCGGCTGGGCAATAACCGTTTAACTTTTAGGTCTTTACACATAAGATGCTGACATTGCACCATCGCAGCCGTTGGCCCAAAGTTCTAAGTGCTAAACCCGCAGCGCACAACCAGAGATGTGTTTGCACAACATCCACTCATGGTCTCGTGACTGACTGCATCACTTCTGTGGCGCAGTCTGCACTCCAGCATGGCGGCGAGTAATGCTGTGTCATTCGGGGCGGTGTGGGTCGACTAATGCGATGGCTCCCTTTATCCTCCAACTCCACGTCCACTTAAAGGTCAGCACCGCCGAGCCTGTTTGCGATTGGTCGGCGGCGGGAATTATTGGTGACAGAGTTCCCGAGTGGCCGGGCGATGTTTCCCTCACTGCTGCACGCATGTTGTTCAACACTTACTTTTTTCCCCTCAACCGGAACATCTAAATCTGTGCGCATTTGGCATTTCTGAGCTGTTCATTTGCTTTCTAAAGGCTGCTGTCGATGAAGATGTGTCAGCGTCACTGCAGCACATCGCACTCTGTTCAATCTCCTCAATATCGAGAGCAATGTCTCCATCGCCAAAACCAAACACACACTCATTAACTATTAAAAGCGGGCGAGTACATGGCTTTCATGCCAATAAGAGTTCTTACTTGTTCCCAGGGAGGCGCCGCCGTAATGGACGCCGTCCCAGTTTTGCACAAATTCCGGTCTGGACTGGTTCGCTGGCTCGACCGCCACCGTGGTGGACCGGAACATGGGCCCAGAACCAGGAGCACTGAGGAGAGGCCAGGAGGAACAGGGCGTAAGGAGAGAGGTGACACGGTGAGGAGATAGAGAGAGAAAAAGGGAGAGGAGGACGAGCGGTAAGAGGAGACACGTGATGAGAGGAGGGAGAGAAAAAGACGAGATCAATTCATTAATTATTAGGGGGAAGGAAAGAAGAAAAAGAGGATGAGAGATTAGCGGAGAAGAGAAAGGGAAAGAAAAAGAAAGTTAGTGGAAAGAAGGAGGGAAGAAATGAGAGGGAACAATAAAAGAAAAGGGGAGGAGAGAAGATAGAACGTAAATGAAGAAGAGATGGGAAGCCAATAAAAGGTAATGAATTAAAGAGGATAAGAGGAAAGTAAAGATAAAAGGAAACAAATACAAGGGAAAAGAGGATGGAAAGAATGTGCGGGAGAGGATGAAATGGGAGGACAAGTGACGAGGAGAAGAGAGGATTAAAGGGTGAGCGAAGCAAAAAGTAGAGGAGGAAACGTAACAAACCTAAAAAGAGAGGATGGAAGAAAGGGAAGAGAAGACAAAAGAAAGAGAAAGATAAAAAAAAAACAGGAGACGGTTAAGGAGGACGAGAGCATGAGATAATGAACAGAAAGGAGGAGATGAAAGGAGGCGATGAGAGGATGAACCAGAGAGGAAGGAAGAGAAAAGCAAACCAGATCAAAAAGGAAAAGAGGATAGGAAGCGACAAAGGTAAAGGGTGCACGTGAAAAGGGATCAAGGAAGGAATAAAGCGGCGAGGAAAAGAAAGAAGGACAACAAGAGGCAACAAGGAGTCAAGCAGTGAGGAGGGCGAGAGGAAGAGCTGAAATCCAGCTGAAAATCAATTTGGCCATGCTGCCCCACCCACCCCCCCCACTCCCCCCTTTGTGCCAGCAGCCACATTGTTGCAAGTGACAGCCGATACGGACACACGGCTCTCTGTGCCGCAAGGAGAGGGGGGGGAGGGAGGAGGGGTGGGGGGGGGGGGGGGGGGGGTCAGGGGGGGACGGACGCGCAACGTGATTGGTCAGACACACTAACACTGATTATTCCCATTCAGCGGATTTTAATTGGTTGCTGTGCCAACGCTGGTTGTATCCATGGCGCCGGTTAGTGATCCGTCTCTTCCCTCCTGTGATTTATTTTTACTGATGTGCATCGAAACACGTGAGGTCTTTTTCGGAGACGTGGAGGCCGACATCTGGCTCTCCGGTCGACAAGTGCATTAAAATTCTAACTGCCGTTTGTTGGATTCATACGTCCTGGGTGTTTTTCATTCTGTCTGCAGGGACTATTTTCTGGCGGTTACCTCGGTTCTTTTTCTTTTTTTTTTAAATTTTATCTTTTTGCGTGGGCATCTCCAGGTTTTGCCTCGCAGCTCCGGGTTTCAAATGTTTGCATCTGTGTGCTCTTGTTTGTGTGTTTTGAGAATTCTCCGTTTGGTAGCTCGCCAGATGAACTCTCGTCACATCGCGGTTCCCTGCAGGAAGCAGCCAAAAAATCCTGCGTTTCCAAACCTCCCTTTTTGTTTATCGTTTGCCTTCGAGGTTGTTTTTTTAAAGACAAACATCACGTGAGGATTTTGGAGTTTGGTGGCGCTCTCGAGAAAGTCCCGTGAACACACGGGGAGTTGATTTTTCTTTATATGTTCTTATTATTATTCTTTAAATAAAAGTATGTTGGACTTTTGACACGTCATGCTGCGTGAAATCGCGGCTGTAGATGTTTCCCTTTAGCAGCTCGAGTTTCACCGCCCTGGGGTGCGTTCCATCTCTAGGGTGCGTTGCATCTATCTCGCTTCTCTCATTGGCGTCACTTCCAAGGTGGAGCTTAAACTCCCCCCGTGGAAGAGACGCCAGGAAGGATAAGTTAGCATAGCACAAGAAAAAAGCACCGTTGATGTTTTCAACGGCGGCTCATTCTCCACATTAGCATCGTTCAGAAAGGAGGTGGCGGTGTGGAGGCCTCACCACTCTCCCGTCCTCCTCTCTTCGTGCTTGCGCAGCCTCCTCAGCGCTCGCTCCTCCCTCTTCTCCTCCCTGCGCCTCCTCTGCCTCCTGCAGGACAGCGCTCGGTAGAACTCCCTCTGCTTGAGCTCCTTGAGGCGCTGCAGGAGAAGCAGGTTTGATGTCGTTACCACGATTCTGACGGGAAGGATGAAGACGTGAAAATGTCCAAATACGTTGATCATGCAGCACTTAGTTTGTGTGTGTGTGCGTGTGTGTGTGTGAGTTTGTCCAGGCGAGTCGTTATCTACTGAAGAAGTACAGTGTGTGTGTGTGTGTGTGTGTGTGTGTGTGTGTCAGTTCTGTGTATCTGTGCTCACTAAGTCAGCCAGTGCCGGCTTTAGGACAGTCCAGACCAGCTTAATTCACTTACTGAGCTCTGTCTGCAAGCCGGAGATACTGATACTGTGTGTGTGTGTGTGTGTGTGTGTGTGTGTGTGTGTGTGTGTGTGTGTGTGTGTGTGTGTGTGTGTGTGTGTGTGTGTGTGTGTGTGTGTGTGTGTACTAATAATAATAGACCGGTGGGTTCATATCGCGGACAGACAGATGACAACAAACAGAGAGACAGCGAGCCGACAAACAGATACAGACAGAGAGATAAAACACAGAGGGACAAAGAGACAGACAGGAGGACACTCAGCTTGCGGTGTGTAGCTTCCTCGGGTCTTATGTACATGCATTGTGAGGAGGGGACACGGGGGAACTTTAATAACTTGACTTAATAACCTTTGTGATTCAGTCAAAGCCCAAAATAAAATGTAACGTTTAAGTTACAAATAACAATCTTCAATCTCGCATTAAAAGAGACTAAGAGGAGAATATCGTAATGGTTTGTGATACCTGGTTGGAAAGTTGTGCTGGTAACAGCTTTTTTGCTGAGTACTAATATCACGACAATACGTCACAATGAAGAATACAAGCAGGGTTTTCTTTATCAAACATAAAGAGCCCAAACTTTTGATATTTGGTTTGAAATATTAAAAATCTGACTTCCTCTGCTTTAAGGTTCCAGCACTTGATTTCTATTTCAAGTTCTATTTCATGTATTATTGTTGGACTTAACAATTAACTATGATTGATTGCATAAAAGCGCGTGGAAGGTGGTTTCGTGTCGGTTCTAATTGCTGAACGTCACTCGGCTGAAATGAAACACAGATTTTCACGACGTTTGACAAAAAGAAACGAAAGCTTTTAATCTTTCTATCAGTCACCGTGGAAGCGGGCGCACGCGGCCGAGCCTCACCTAGCCAAAGATACACGTGGAATCACCTTTAATCAACTGTTCATTTCTTATTTACCATTAGACATTGACTCCACCACCGATCTGACCAATGAAAAGAAGCGTGGCGCCGTCACGTGACCTCCCCTCTGCCACGTTCAAACCGCCACCCCAATCGCTGGAATTGAACGCGTGGAACGTCGAGCAATGGCTCTTTTAAAGAGCTCAAAGCAATTTCACCTTTTAAAATCGGTAATAATTTGGTTGCAGGTTTCAGTAATTAGTCTAAAATTAAAAACACGATGATGTTTTTGCGGTATCGCCGCCTCCGAAGGTGGAAAAGTCCTTTTAGTCGAAGGGTGACGAGAGTTCAGTTTGGAACGAGGGCCGCGGTTCCTCCTACGTGGATACAAACCGCCCTTCTTTAACCTCCGAGTCCTTGTTTCTCATCCGCGGCGCTCCGACACTGAACTAACCACGGGTCACTTTCCCGCCGCACAGCTCTCGCAATTAAATATTCAATTAGAAGAGCACGCGGCCTCCTTAAGCGCAATAATCTCAGATAATCCGCCGGGTTTTTTTCTTTCCCGCCGCCTGCATCCGTCACAGCAGCACCCCGGCGCCTGTGACGTAGTCGCCCCGCAGACCACTTCGTCTCCAAGAGGAGGCCGTGACCGACCGCGTGGACCGAAAGACGGGCGGCTAAGCTCTGTGTGTGTGTGTGTGTGTGTGTGTGTGTGTGCAGGCTGGAGAATATTACAGCTAGAAAATCCATTTCCTGCAAGTGTTGCAGTCTGGAACAATATGCCCTGAATGCGCCGCATCCTCAAGTAAACCTAATAACTCTGACACGCGCCTAACGGCGAGAAATCTTACGCCTCTTTCATCGCTCGCGAGTGGAAAAATGGTAATTGCGGCAAATGCATTCCTCCCAGCCACCATAATTTCGTAAACACCCAAAACAGCTGCGAGTTCCCCGAGCCGCCTTCTTCCACGTCCCCGCTGCGGAGGAATAAAGCGTCCTCCCGTTGCAGAGCAGACCGGCGATGAGGCGAAATGTCACAAAAATAATGCGTTATGATGCAATCAGCGAACATGTACTATTGATCTGAACCCAGAAGGATGCCCTGGAAACAATCATTAGTATGTTTTGTATTGATAGAAAAATAACTGCAACCTTTATTTTCTCTGAAGAGATCAATGATTTATTTATTTTAGGATTATAATGTAACTACAAGTTCTAGAAAGACAAGAACATGGAAAGAGATGGATAACTGTTCATGATTATCTTTACAGCTCATGATAGCACAGTAAAGGTGGAATAATCAGTAATAATCAGGTTGTAGCTTGGTATTAACAAAGTATATCATAATAGACTCACGGGTATTTATGATTCAGTAGATCATTTGTGCCAATTTAAAGCTTAGTAAAGTAGTAATAAACCAACAAATCTGTCCCTGGACGACAACGATACAAAGGAAGCTCGGAAACGTGACGCTCACCCAGCGGCTTCTGCGGCTATAAGGAGCTCCTTTACTTATTTTATTACTGAAATCAAGTCGGGAGTCTAAAAGCTCCACGCGACATAAAATCAATCGGTGGAAGTTTTTTCGGCCCAAAACGAGCCGTGAGAGCCGGTATCGTTTGCGTGTTTGTGTGTGCTCGCGTCGACCGCAGTGTGTGTCCAACGGAAACCCGAGCAGAGTGACGGCGCGTAATGAATCCGTGACCTTGGCCGGGGGGGGAGGGAGATGGGAGGGGGGGCGGGGGGGGATCTTGGGGGAGGCGGGCTTAAGGTGGATGAACCGCACCTCCGGGGGCCTTGTTAAGGCGGCGTGACTCACCTGCTTGTGGTGGTGGTCGTGCGAGTTGATGTGGTTGTCGTACTGTTGGTGCCTCACGTATTGCTTATCGCAAAGCTCGCAGTAGAAACTTGAGTCCCCTTCCTCCTACGCACAGAGAGAGGAGGAGGAGGAGGAGGAGGAGGAGGAGGAGGAGATGAGGGAGGAAGAGGGACACGTTAACGGGGGGATCTTTAGAGAATTATTGTAACATTAACAATTTAAACAAGGAAATCTCGTCCAAACGTTTGTGTTTCAGCTCCCAAAAAGGTAAGAAAGTTAAGAAGAATCTAACCGACTTGAGCATAAAAGAAAAGAGGTGGGAAAGATTGTGATCATTCAAATGACCACGGATTTTTTTTCTGGCTGAGAGCTAACTGAGACGCTAATGCTAGCAGCAGATGAATAATCGCTTTGCTCCAGTCCTAACTTCCTTTTATATAAATAAACCATGACTTCACACTGCTTTAAGTCGCTCGTAAAAACGTAATGAAAACAAAAGTGTGTGTGTGTGCGCGCGTGTGTGTGTGTGTGTGTGGTGAGTTACACTCAGAGCCGCTATTGGTTGTAAAATGTATTTATGAGGAATGAATATTCATCATTCTCAAGCTTTTAATTTGTTACCTGTCGTATGAAGTGTGTGTGTGTGTGTGTGTTTCTATAGAGCTTGTCATATAGAGCGATGCTGGCTCTAATGCTTCCGAAGGCTAATGGGCCTTTCAATCACAACTATTGATCAGTAACACACACACACACACACACATCAATACACATCAAAATAAATACACACATTTCTGAGTACCCACTTCCATCCATAGCTTTTAATACATCAGTGTGTCTTAAGCCCACACAAAGATATTGAGAGGTGAAATAATGCAGGATTTTACTTCTACGCTCACACACACACACACACACACACATGCATGCAAGCACACACACACACACACACACAGACCATTCCCATTAATGGAAGATTGATTTATCTTTAAAAGTAGGGAACATTCCATCTGTGACACGACCTTCAGTAGAGATCTTGCTCTGTGTGTGTGTGTGTGTGTGTGTGTGTGTGTGTGTGTGTGTGTGTGCACGTGTGTGTGTGTGTCTGTCAGCTTGCACAAGTTCATTTCCAACTATCTGTCTCTTAAAAAAGTGCCATTTCCAAAGTTAGACGACAGTCGGGACCGCCGGAGATGGAAAGACGAGGCGAGTCGGGCTGAGAGCGTGACGGAGGACAGGTGGAGACAGACGGGTGGAGACAAACGGGTGGAGACAAACAGAGAGACACTGAAAGAGGCGGAGGCCAAACACAGGCGACCCGGTTCAGTCCCTCGCGGCCCCAGAACTCCTCGGCCATTAGCTTCATTCAGCATTAGCTCGTCAGACAAGTGATCACCGCAGCTAACGTAATTCCATTAAGTAACGAATTTATGTTGCATTATTCTATTACGGAACGAAACATTACATTTGCATTATTTAATCAAAGACGGCATTGGTTTGCATTATGTCATTAAAGATGTCGTTGGGTTGCATTAGCCCGCTGAAGATGGGTTTTGATGTGCATTAAACATGGCGCGCTGGATAGCTCGGGAAGTGCTGCTCGGTAAAGTTAAATTAAAACACATTACAGATCAGAAGCTTTCTGGTGCATGGCAACAAATCAGAGGATTGTTTGTTTGTATTTTGCTTCAAGTGAGGGAGAGCTTAGTGAAGCACAGTGTTGTCTGACCCAAACGTGAATAAAAAGGAGAAAACGCTGGTTATGAGGCGGAAAAAACAAAGCCCCCTAAACCCAGACGGCAACTCGCAAGCTCAGATTTAAGTCTAAAAAAAAACAGCTGTATCAGATACGTGCTGAAAAACGTAAAATACGAACACATATTAGATGACAATATAACGTTAGACAGACATTAGCACATTAGCTACTAGCGTTAGCTCATCTATCCTACGCTAGGCTACATTTTCACACATTCATAATGAGCGTAAACACGGAAAAAAGACCTGTGTTGTTACTCCATTTCATTTCCTTCTGTCTCGATATCCAAGGGATGTGGTGGCTGACTTTTAAACTCTGATCCGTAGCTTTATCTTTTTACCTTTTGTCACCGCTGAATCAGTTTGACATCCTGGATTTATCCCTGAAGTTGTTTTTTCTTGTTATTTTTCAGCCTTTGAGTCATTTTGAGAACCCCTGTGAACCTGTATGACAGGCGCTGCACGAATAAAGTTCGATTGAAGAAAATAACCATCACTTGTTGAAACCAACTTTGCGTGAACTTTGCTCTTCTTTGGCGTAAATATAAAACAGTTAGGCCTAACATAAGCTGGCAAAAAAACAAGTGCTGTCCTGCAGGGCCACCATGGTGAAACTCCAGCAACCCTTGTTGTGAACAGCACAACTTAGCTAAAGGGCGAAACAGCTGGGACACCTCATTAAATGACAATATAACTCACTTTTTGTAATTTAGCAAGATCTGATTTGAGCGGGCAGAAGAGATCCCTGACCTTTCACCCTCCATTGAAGTGGGATTTTATGTGCACTTCATCGAGGCTCAATACTCTCCTCCTCTCCTTTGAGCTCCGGTTCAATCGGCACTAAAAACATCCGTCTCTTTAAGCCGGTTTTGCGGACGTTCATCTTTTCCTCAACAGCCACTTGTTTTCTCCGGGTCTCCCCGTCGTTTGTTTGTCCTGGAGACGACCGCCGCCGGCCCGTTTTCGTCTGTGGCGCCGATCGGGGGGACCTACGAGCGGGCTGAAACCGGCTGTGTGCTGTTGATCAACACACCATAAGCTCGAGATTCTGACTCGGAACAAAGGATGAAACTGGGATGAAACGAAAGGAACAGAAGCGTCAGACGACCTCCGCGTTGAGGCGTCTCGCTCAGCATCTCGGAATGTTTTACTCGCGCTGAAACAAAGCTGCCGGCTGCGACTAATTTGATTTTGGATGTATTATAAACGGCTTGATAAGTCTGGAGTGTGACGACTCGTGAAGCGAGGCTCCTCTGCGGCTTTTTTCTTCCTCTTTTTTTTTTTTTTTTTCCAGCCTCTCGCGCTCGCCGAGCTGCTCCTGTAAATGACTTTCTTACTGACAGATCTCTTCTTCTGCGTCTCCCTAAGGGTTATGTTCTTTCTCCAAGCCTGTACTTTCTTAACACTAGTGACTAACCGCAGCCAGCATGTAGATTGAAGGCTTTTTCCTCATCAAGTTTGGGGGGTCAAGTTATGTCATTTAAAAAAATAGAGCAGGTGTGCGTGGCCTTCATGCCTGGTCCCTTTGTGGCCCCGTGGTTTGGCTGATTCATTCTCGCGCTGCTTTTAAAAGGAATGAAAACGTTGCAACCTTTTCTGAAACCAGCTGTGATGAAAGGAAAAGAGAAGTGGACGGGTGGGACTGAAAATATCCGTCTGTGTGGAGTGTTTTTTTAAAAACACTGAAATAAATGACAAAACCTGTTGAAGGCCTCCGATCCAGCGTCCAGAGACCAAGTTGATCAGACGTCTTCATACGAGGACTTTGAGCAGTTTGTCTGCACACGTCGCCGCTGGTTCTTGGGTTTGAATGAGGTGCCTTCAGGGACGCCTCGCAGCCCATCGCTTCATTCAATCACTCGTTCAGATGAACAACATCTGCACCTTTCTAGTTTTATTAGCGTTTCCTTTTGAGCGTTGCTCAAAAACCTTCTGCAATGGAATCCATAAGCTTGATTAAAATGGAGGTTACTGGCTCGGGAAAGCTGTGGTGAGAATAAACGTAGGATTGCTTTACGTTTACTGTAATGGCTTATTTTAGTAAACAAAAATGTCGTATTTCCACAAGCTCTGGAGCCTCGTTTTCTATGTTTTGCATTCCTTAATCATTTCCTGTGTCCTATTGTTTTGTTTATTCGCCTTTATTTTTGCTTATTTCATATATCATTTAATCTCATCTAGAAACATATCATCAAAAAAAAAAAATCCTGGGACAATAAATAAATATCATCAAAAAAAAAAAATCCTGGGACAATAAGGTTTATATTACTTTTTTTCAATATGAAATGAAGTGAAAAGAAATGCAGCGAGTGGGTGTTTGTGTGCACACAATCATACAATACATATGGAGTGTGTGTGTGTGTGTGTGTGTGTGTCTGATCAATGGCCAACATGCTCAATGCAATCAGAATAAATGCTTTCTTCTAATTGAAAGGAAAAGAAAACTAGTGATTGACCTTCCCACTGCCTCCATTTTACCAAATGCAAACTCTGATTGAAGGAGCTATTATATTATAGTGTGTTATATTATATCAGTGGAATTTGTTTTGAAGGCATCCAGACAAACCTGCAGCTGTGTAGTTTAGTTTGAACACAAACCAAAGCAGGGAATCTTTAGTTTGAAGGCTAACAACAAAGTATTAAATGAATCCCTCCGCGGGTGAAGGTCATTAGTTACTTTGCGAGGTCTGTTGGTTCGGCGAATGCTTTTTCTCTTGTTCATTTAGCGGAGATTAGTTGTAGGTCGAGAACACGGTGACCCTTTTTCCACTCAGCCGAACCGACAGACTTAAATAGATATAAGTGGATGAGAATCCAAGAGAGGTTGTGTTTCATTAAATGATGCAAGCATGTTAACAAGTCAAAATCCCCGGATCCGTCTTTTTAGAAAGGCGGCTTCTAATTGGTCATGACACCTTCAGCTTTTTATTGTTTAGTCTGATTGCTTTGGATAAAGAATCTGCTCTTTTATGTAAGTAAAGACGGCCGGTAATAAGTTAATGCGCAGCGTGACGCAGCTGCTAAAGGCTCGCTGCTGCTTTCAAGCTGGCAAATGAAGTAACTCAAGGAGCAATTTAGTAGTGGATAGAAGGATAGAATAAAGAATTTCAAAGATTTGCGATATTTGCGATATTTGCGCGATACTTGCGATACACGTTAAAGGAATGAAAGTAATAATTAGTTCTGAAAACCACACCTGAACTCTACAATCTAACAACTTCTTTAAGATGAAATATTAAATAACAGCAGGTAACCCAGTTTAAACACATCAATCGCTGAAAACCAATGGAAAGAGGGACAAACCCTTTCCGATTTTAAGCTATTTGTTTGTTGTATTAATCAGCTTATGATGCAGC